TTAGGGTTTAGGGTTTAGGGGAACACGGAAAAGCACAGGTTGTTAGGTTCAGGTAAATCTAGAACGGCCATAGCTTCCGAGTCACTCGGGCTGAGACGAAGGACATCGACAAGAACGGCGAGCAAGCCAAAGCACTTGTGCACGCCTTCAAGATCAACATTGACGCCTCCCTGTCAGCCTACCACCAGGACTGTCAGGGTTGGATGCTGTTGGGTCTGTGGGGAGGGCCCCCTGAAGATTTCACGGCGTTCTGATGAGACTTCAGGGCCGGCTATTCAGAGGCTACTGCGTAGTTTTAGAGGGAGCTGCGTGTTGTCCTGTAGCTTGTAGGGCTCAAGCGAGTGGGCGCGAGATCCGTTGATAATTAAGGCCCCTATATTATCTTGGCCAAGCCGCCGGGGCTGCATGTCATTTTCTCTCCAGGTTTCTAGGGTCGCGTCATATTCAGTCCATCGAAGCATAGAGGACGCCCGAGAGGGAGTTGGTACGAACTGAATGTTGAAACCCTCAACCCTAGACCTTAAACCCTAAACCCTAAACTCTGAACTTAAATCCCAAACTCTAAACTCTAAACTTAAACCCCAAACTCTAAACTCTAAACTTTAATCCCAAACCCTAAACTCTAAACTTAAATCCTAAACCCTAAACCCTATGCATGGTAGCAGCACCTTCACATGCCACTCCCACAGCCACTCATCAGACATAAACTTCACGATTCAAAGGCAGAATCAGAAACCCTACCTAGGGTTTAGGGTCTCGGGATTAGGGTTTAGGGTTTGGGGTTTGGGGTTTAGGGATTAGGGTTTAGGGTTGAGGGTTGAGGGATTAGGATTTGGGGTTTAGGGACCAACAGGAACATGTACCATGTTTTGGGGGGCCATATCCCTTTTTTCGAAGTACATTGGTTGCTCTAGGTAATTTAGGGGTTTTAAAAATTACCTATACCGCTTTGGTGGTTTCTTTTTCTAACTATAGCATAATATACACCAAAACTCAAGTCGAATCATTAAGGCTTCTACATGAACCCGAACCCTAAACCCTAAGTACTAAACATCCAGGTTTCGGGTTGAGGATTCTGGGGTTGCGAACCCCAAATCCTAAAACTTTGTTTTCCGAACCCGAACCAGGAGCCTTAAACCCCGGGAGGGTTGAGTTTACTAAACCCTGAATTGGGGTTTAGGGTTTAGGGTTTAGGGCTTTGGGTTTAAGGTTTAGGGCTTAGGGTTCAGGGTTTAGGGCAGTTTAGAGGGTTAGGGCGCGCTTCAAAACCAGCAGGAGTCGATGCTGGAGCTCTCAAAATTGGTGACTCGGTGACGCTTTGGGAAACTGCCCTAAACCCTAAACCCTAAACCCTAAAGCTAAGCCTGTGAGGTCCTATAGATTGGGAGCCCTGAGGGTAGAACTAAACCCTAAACCCGCTGCCCTAAAACTTTCTACCCTAAACCCAAAGCCTTAAACTCTGAACCCTAAACTTAGCAGCTGAGTGGATACACTTTACACTCTTTGGGTTAATATTACCCACTAGAAAACTGAAAGTGCACACTTTTTGTGGCTTATGAACTCAGCAACTAAGTAAAGCCCTAAGCCCCAAACCCTAAACCGCTAAACCAAAAGCCCTAAACCGAAAACCCAAAACCCCAAACCCTAAACCCACAGCCCTGAACCCTTCAACTACGCACTGAACCTTGTAACAAAGCCCAAAACCCTAGACCCTAAACCCATAAAGCCCTAACCCAAAACCCTAAAGCAAAAACCCCAAAACCCAAAACCCTTAAACTACCACCGAGGTGAACATTGTAACCAGAAGTACCAGCTCCAGCACAGTGTTTCGACAGGAGGCGGGCGCTTCGCGTGATGGGTAGAATTGAGCCGTTAGAGTTTAGCGTTTAGGATTTCGGGTGTAGGGTTTAGGGTTTTGGGGTTTAGGGGTAAACCCTAAACCCTACACACTAAACCCTAAACCCGTAACAAAAAACCCTAAACCGTGGGTTTAGGGTTGAGGTTTAGGGTTCAGGGCCATGGTGATCATGGATCTTGGTTTGGTTATCAAGCTGTTTCTGAGCGTCCCGAAATACGCAGAATACTCATACAGTTTGGAAGTGTAGTGGCATGGGTAGTATTATTAGTTGGAAACACAGCACATGTTTTTCCTAAGCCTGAAACCCAAAACCCTAAACCCTCAACCCTAAACCCTAAACCTTGTAGTGGCTAGAGTAGTTTCTGTTGGACAGCCCATGCCTTGGCACCTACAGCTCTTCGGGACTGGATGAGTTTCGCGGCCATCCCACTACAGGGTTTAGGGTTGAGGGTTTAGGGGTTTAGGGTTTAGGGTTTAAGGTAGATTCGATGAATAAGAGCGTACTTCGCAGCTTTGGAAGGTTGGGTTCACTTGGCACTCAGAGTTTAAGCTGAGGGTCTAGGACCCCAGCGCGCTCAACTCCGGGCTTTAACCCCTCTGCTCTGACATGCGTTCATTGAATCACACCCTAAACCCTAAACCC